CGTCCTTGAGCAGCACTGAGATGAAACAATTTCAATTCGGGGACAACTTTTAGCATTAAAAAAAAAAGTAAGGAAGGAGAATAGAGGCCCCTGGTCTCCCGGTCGCGTGCAGCTCTCGTGGTCCCTGATGTAACTGCCCAGTATGGCCAGTTCAGCCCCAAGCTGGGACAGGCACTGCCCACACCCGAAGCGCTCTGCCCTTGCTGTGCACTTCCCCGCCCTCTTCTCTGCCTTCTCCAAGCAGAGGAGGGGATGCCAGAGACACTGCACGCTGCATTTTGGGGTCTGTCCTGCGTGAGAGACAGTGATAAATACACAGAGTTTGGGGGGGTGTCTGCAGGGATTGATTTTTCTACAAACAACGGCTGCTGGCAGCACTCCAGGCAGCCCTGCACACTCTGGCTGACCCAGCCCTACACTCTCCCGGGGCAGATGTAGAGTGGTTGGGATTTATTCACAACCAGCTCTTGCTCAGCCTGCCTTCTGCAGCTGCCTTCTCCTGGGGGTGCTGCTGCCCACACAGCACAGGCACTGGTCTGCCAGGGGGGCGTCTCCAGCAGGACACATGCTGGCCAGGAGCCCCCATCCCCAGCGCTTGCCTTGGTGCAGCACCGGCCTCATCTCCACCCCAGCACATCGCCAGCAGATTTCCGCGAGGCTGCAGGTCTCAGTGCCGAGAGACAACCCCAGCCACTGGCCTGAGAGCACTCTGCTTGCAGCAAGGTGACAGAAAAACTTTGCTCAGAACAAGATAAAAATAACTCTTTCCAGAGACCTGCAGTGCCGGCCTCAATCAATCACCCTCGGTGTGGCCGGCCGGTCCTCCCCATGCGAGGAGAGTATTTTTGGCTCTGTGCTCACATCCCCTGCGGGGCTCTGCTGAATAAATAATCAGGGTCAAAAGGAAATCTGAAAGGGAAGAAGTGAAAGAGCGAGAGCCACGTTATCAGTGCTGCAGAGAAGGGTGTGCTGCTCACAAAGGGTGTGCGAGGAAGTGGGACACGAGCCCTGCCCTGGGCCAGGCCCCCCTGACTGATACCAGCACGCTCAGGGAAAGGGGGGTTCTTCTTCAGCAAACCCCCCCCACCACTCCACAGAGTACTCAAGGGACAGACATGCTGCCCCTGTGAGTCCATGACCGCTGGGCTCGCTCCCTGAGATGTTGTGTGCCCCCCTCTGCCTCCCCCCTGCCCTGCTGGGGCTCAGCCTGCAGTACGGCTCATCCTGGCCACAGCTCTCACCCGATTTTAACGCCCGTGGCTGGCAGGGAGGCGATGAGGAGGGGGCCAGCTGTGCCCTGGGTGAGCACCAGGGCTGTGTCCCTAGCAGGGAAGCTGTGGGAGCATCCTGTGTGGGTGAGCCATGCAAGAGGGACACGGACTTTGGGGAGACACCCCGCAGGGAGAGCACTGAAGTACCAGCAGAGCACGGAAGAGGCTCCTCTGACTGTCACAGCCCCGCTCAGCCCAGGGATTCAAGCCCCAAGCTGTGGCTTCCAGCACAGAGCTCTAACCCCTCTCAGAGACGCTCCCTCAGCCTCTTCTGGCGCGTCACGTGTGCCCGAGGTCCCTGCTCCGGAGCAGCTTTTCCCGTCTCCACCACCACCACTGGCTGTGACAGTGTATTTCTCGTACTCCCCAACACCCTGTCAGCATTCCCCTCCACCGCTGCCACTAAAGCAGCTTTGATAGGACAGCTTCTCTCCGCTGCAACTCGCTGCTCCGCCGCATCCCTCGGGTGGCTGAGCAGGAGCTGTGGCAGAGCCGTGGGCACGGGCAGGCTCCGGCAGAGCCCCGCGAGCCACAGCAGCCCGCTCCCCTGGTACAGACATGGCTCCGGGTCTGTCCGGCCCCTTGCACCCCTCGAGGGGACTCCACAGGGAGCTCTCTCTTTCCCTCCCTTGTGGACATGTGAGGACGTAGCTCTTGGCGATGGAAACGGGCTGACATCCCTTCCCACAGACACCATCGCCACCAGAGGCAGGTTCTCAGCCCTGTGGCCAGCTCTAGCCAAGCTGGCAGTGGCCCGTCTCCCTTCCCAGGCTCTGCTCTCAGAGCAGTGACGCTCCGTACCCACAAAGAGGACGAGGCAGGGGCCCTCGTTCAGCTGCACGGCGTTGGAGTCTGTCAGCTCCAGCACGGGCTTGGGGTGCCAGGGGAACTCGCGGCATTCGATGTCATTCAGCACCTCCACCCGCCCCTGCCGTGTGATCACGTCTCCCTTGGAGTCCAGGACGATGAGAGTCGGGATGCCTGTGATGGAAGAAAAACAGGGCAGGGGTCAGCCAAAACGTGAACTGGCCAGCGACAGAGCGTGGGGAGAAGGGCCTTTTCCCACCGCCTCCAGCTCTGGCAGGAGCCCAGTGAGCACGCTGCCTCTCCACAGCTTGTGCACATGCAGGAACCGGGGTCACTGGATCCTGTTTCCTTCCCAGCAGAGGCTGTAATTCAGCAGCCAGAGCAGGACACTGAGAGACCAGCTGTGGCACTGCCGGCACCCCCCTGCCCGAGCACAGGCAGGGGTCACTTCGGCTGACGCTCCTGGACGCAAACCCCACCACACCTTGTAAGCTCCCTCCTGCAGCACTCGGACAGGACAGACATACCTCCTGCATGCGAGGCAGAGCTTCACTGCCCCGTAGGCACCACCACCCCGGCCCTGGGAGGCAGCTGCTGCGTGTCCCCTGTTCGCAGGAACATACTCAGACCTTTCAGCAGAAAGACCACAGGCAATGGCAGGCAGGAAGCAGGGTGTGTTCCTTCCCAGGAGGAAGGCCGTATGCTTTAGCAGCCACAAACTCCTCTGTGAACCCCCACACCCCTCCAGCACCCATCACTAAGCACCCAGCCATCTCCAGAGCACAGGGATGTGTCTGATCAGTCATGAGCATTATTACCTGGTTCAGACACGGATTCACAGCACCCGACACTGCCAGGGGAGGAAAGGCCCCTGGACTGAGCAGCAGCTGCACGGCACCAACCACAGTGATTTGGTGCTCAGGGGCACGGCTCACCCCTGGGACACCCAATACCCACGCCTCTGCAAGTGGAGATGGAGGAGAATCATACTGATCACAAGCATTAACACCAGCAGGCTCTGCCACGTGGCCAAATTGCACACGGATGAACCCAGCTGCTGTCCTCGCCACGGTCTGGCAGTGGCCGTGGTGTGGGTCCTGCCTCCACACTCAGCTGCCAGTTTCCAAATCCTGCAGGACCAAACCGTGGCTACAAGTGACTCTACTGTGGCAGAGCAACCCTGCCCTTGGCCACCCCGGGATACCCTCAAGGATCCCAGCAGACTGCCGTGCAGAGAGGCTGGGATGGACACAGGTCAAGGTCTGTCAGGGAACAGCATGTGGGGAAAAGGAGACTCCCCTGCACGCTGGTGCAGCTTGTGGATCTCGAGACAAAACCGGCTTCATTTCCTCAGCTGGAGCCTGGAGCTGCTTGTTACCAAGCTCAACACACCTCTGCCAGCTCTGGCACAGCGCCGAACAGGCACCCACAGGATGGAGGTCCCAGGTTATTTCTTTCTGCAGTTTGGATCCTTGGGAAAGGCAGTAACACATGCATTTTGCTTCATTTGGGGGGGAATAAAAACAAATGAGATAATCTGTTAAATACATCACTTTATACGAAGAGGGACAGTACAGATCTGCCACAACACATCCTTCCTGAGACTAACGAAGCTGTTCAGGAACATCCAGGTCTGCTGGATCACAGCACTGGGCAGGATGGGGCTCGGAGGACATCCGAAGAGGTTCTGACCCTTGGGACAAAGCAGCGTTTCATCCCGAGCTACGGGGCTGGAAAGCCCTGTCATAAAGGAGAAGCCTTTGTAAGAGAGGCGAGCAGACCTGCAGGAAAGGTCGAGCACAGGTCACCCATTCAGATGGGCCCAGGTGACACCAGCTGGTGACCATTCCATCTGATAAGGCACCAACCAGGCTTTTCCACCACAGAACAGTCACAGGCAAGTCAAGAGGAGCTGCTCACATTGGCGACTTCACCTGGAAAGCACACCATTCCTCTCTCATCAAGCAGACAAAGAAACATCCCACAAGGAAGGAAGAGGGGAGAGTTTGGGATTAGGTCCTGAGAGATGGGTGAAGGGACCAGTGCCGGGCACTGTCATCTGCTTCTCATCACCCAGGTCTCAATCCACTTGCTATCTGGCCTCTCCTCCTTCACCCAGCAACATCCCCCAGACCACAACCAGCAAACCAAAGCAGCTCAAATCCTCCTGCCCTCATCCAAAGGCTCCTTTTAGATCTCATTCACTAGAAATACCCTGCAGAACCATTCTCTGAGCAGGGGGGACCCAAGGTGCTTGTCCCTGCAGGTCTCCTGGCACCGCACTCCCAACTTTTGTGCAACAGCGGGTTACTCACAAGCCCTCTGAATTCTAGGCATTTCTCTAGGAAATACACAGCCATCTGTCTGTCCCACCCCTGCCTGCAGGTCCGGGCCAGCGGCCGCATTCCCCTCATTCCAGCCTGGCCCCTGCACTGGGGCTGTGAGCACAGAGCTGGTGTAAGAGCAGCGGCGCAGGAACGTGCCCGATGGCTGGGCTTGCAAATCCTAAGGGTATGCCAAGAAAACCATTTTGTATCACAAAAAGGCTTATTCATTACTGCTGGTATTCAAAATAGCTCTAGGGCAGGGACGGGTTAAACAGACTGGAAGGAATGGGGAAATCTCTGGCCCTCCCCTTCGAGGCACAAAGTACTGCTGAAACCAGGAGAAGCCCTCGGTGATTGGCATCCCACACGATTCTGATCTTTATCCATTTACAATTCCCAGCCCTGTCCCAAACGCCCGCTTCTCCATCCTTTACAGACCTGTGTTATACACGAGGGACAGGCTAGAAACGTGGGTTCAGCCGGGTACCCCATCGCAATGCGGCACACCGAGGCAGAGAGCTCAGATAAACTTTGCTGATCTGGGCAATTTAAGGGCCCTTGTTTGGACACAGATCATTGTGCGTGTGATCCCACAGCTATGGGGACCTCAAAGCATTCTACCTGATTCGTGTATGCGGACACACACCCAACAAAGCACCCAGCCCCTAAAACCTCCAACTGCAAGTACAAACCGAGTCAGAAAACAGTCTTTTAAGATAATTCATCCTGGGTTTAGCATGTTTGGGGAATATAAGTAACACATCAGAAAACTTGGGGATGGGTTTTCAGTCTGTTAGGCTGGGTCAATTCCTGCAGCCCTTCCCCTGCATCAGAGGTTTCTCACTGGTTCCAAAGCTCTGGTTTCCCGTCTGGACCCGTCGGGCGAAGGCTGAGGCTGCCACCACCCATGTGCTCTGGGCCCCGAGCAGTGCTGCCCTGTCTCCCCAGTTCCTTCCTGCACATCCCTGGCTGGGTCCCTGGGGTTAGGACACAGCCCCACCAGGCTCACAGTGGCACCCTGCAGGATCAGCCTCATCTTCCCAGGTGAACCCTGTCACTGCTCCTCTGGCAAACACGTCCCCCCCCTGCACAGGACACAGACCGGCAGCACCAACAGAACCATCTTTCACCTTCCTCACAGCCACTAACCCCAGTACTTCCCCCCCTGCTCCCCCCCTCCACGCTCCCCCCAGCCACTATTTGTTATTTTAGTGCCTTTTGGGGGCTTTGGTAATTGCCATGAGTCATAACACCAGAATTTACTTATCAAGAAGAATCACAGATCAGACACTGCAATGAATATTGTATAAGCTTGGAAGAAAATTAGCATAGACGGGCTCAGTTTGACTTTATGCATTAGAAAATGGATTTGGTTCCCACGGGGCTAGCATTTTATGAAAATGCAGGGGCCAAATGATTTGTTACCGAACATGGCAATATATTTACTTATTTATATATTAAAACCCATATCCGACATGGAAATCTCATCTGCATTGAGTCTGTTGGGTGAATAATCAAAAGCAACCTGAAGCAAACATGCAGAATACATCCACCGCAGGACAGGGGGTGGGTTTTATTGATTTTTTTTTTCACCTTTTCAGAAGAAAGCTCCAGAAGCTTCGTACAAGAAACTTCCCATAACAGTGACTTCCAGGCTGCTCCCACCAGCCGGGCTGTGAGAGTGACCTGGGGGTGTCTGGGCTAAAGTGTGGAGCGGGGGGGGGGAAACAATAGTTTTTTGGCAGTTCCCCCAAGGGACTGCAAATCCCAAAGAGGCAACACAGAGTGCTCAGGGAACATCCAGGAACCCAAGAGGTCTCATAAGATATACAACAACAAGGGGCGATTCCTCCCCAAGCATAGACTTTATCACTGCTCCCCATCCCACTGAAAGGAGAGCTAACATCAGGGGATTCCACCTAAGGCAGGACTGCGCAGACTGGGAGCTGCCCACACAACAGAGAATTGTTCCTAAGCAGCCACCACACAGGAGATGACTCTTTCTCAAGATAGTGCTACACCCAGAAGCAATTTAATATATAGGTGGGTACGGTACAGCCCACTGGCTGCGCATGGGTTATGAATAGAGGCATTCAAGTAAACCCAAATAAAGGCCAATAACTCAACTTACATTTTACACTGAGTTTTTGAACGCTGTAGGGGCCAACACAGGACTAAAACAACAAGAGATTTGACTCTCTTGCTGCTTTCCACTGCTCAGGAACTTAAAGCAGTCAGGGAAGACAAGCTCTTCTGTTGTTTCAGCTCCTGGACTTACAAAAACCAGTGGAAACTCCCCGTCACATGTGTGCTGTGCTCACAACCCAGGGCACCACCAGGATGGTAACCTGGGCACCAAAGAGGTTACGTGCTCTTGCTGGTGCAGAGCTGCAGCCCCAAAGGGGGCTTGGGAGATGTGTCTGGGGGAAGGTAGGTGAGATTACACAGGTCCGGTTTTTCACTCGGGTGGAATCAGCACCAGTGGCGATGAGTTGAGCCCACGACATCCAGCTCTGTTTGCAGAAAGCTTTTGCTACAGCCTGTGCGGCAGCCTGCTGCAGAAGCCTGACTGCAAAGCCCAAAGTCGGCAGGGAGGGTCCCAAGCTGCTGCCTGTGTGGGGGCCAGCAGCAACCTGGAGCCCCTGGAGCAGCAGGAGGGTTCACCCCCAGCCCCCCCATCACCTCCCAGTGCCCTGGCACCCTCTCTGCAACACCCTGCTCCACCCCAGACTGCGGTGGGGTAACAGCCCAGCCCAGCCTTGCAAAGCCAGTGTGGCACCTGGGGAGAAGGGAGGTGGGATGGCGATGCCTCCCGCTCAGGGTGTAAATCAGCCTGCCTCCACATTTCGATGTGACTTTGTGGGATTGTAGTTCATCCTTGTGGAGGGAGAGGTTGCCTCTTTACAGGAAAATCACGATAGATAAGCAGTGGGTTCACGCTCAAACATGCCCAAATCCCAGGGCTGGCACCCCTGGGAGAGCAGCTGAAATGCCAGGGTAACATGGGAGCTTCCCAGGCAGAGGAAGGGGTCAGGGTGCAGGGGAGCAGCACATGTTTACACTGCAGGTCAGTACACAATGAGGAGAGAGACATTTAAGGACCCAGTGGCTGGAGCTAGAGGGAAAGCTGTTGTCCCTGTTTCCCTGGCAACAGCATGCCTGGTGCCCAAGTACACACAGCCAGACACCTTATTTACAGAAAGTCCCAGTGAAACTGGCAGCAGTCCTGCAGCGCTCGGCCGAAACCAGCACTGGAGAGGTCTGTGAGCAGGCCAGAGAAAAGATGGATTAATTTGGAAAGCTCTTGCCTCGTGGGAAGGTAATTAAGCAGCAAAGTGATGGCTATTTAAAGCAGGCGAATAGTTGTTCTTGGTTTAAGGTCAGGGAACAACAGCTGAGCAACAGCACCTGAACTCACCCCAAAAGGTGTGCTTGGAGAGGACCCCGAAGAGGAATTATTTCTCATGCTACTCTCTCCAGGTCCCTGTGGCAACACTCCATCTCCCCCGCAGATTGCATTAACCCTCTGCCAGCCTGTGCCCACCTCACTGATGCCACATCAAGATGGGTTAGACACAGACACATTGCAGCAAGACCCTTTAACCACAGGGAGAAACTCTACATACACCCAGAAGACCTCCTGGCGAGCTAGTCACCTTGCACATCCCTGTGCTGCAGTTTATCCCCTGCAGGTACAAGGTGCCAGTCCCCAGGAGGGCTGCTGTGAGCTTTTATCATCTTCATGACTCTTTGAAGCCACCCCGACAGACAAAGTCTCTCCCCTGCCCCTGCGAGAAGCCAGGGCTGCTGGAATTCTGGCACTGGCACGTACAGTAAAAGCAAAGCCATGGTTTACATCAAACATGCACTCTTCTCTAATTCATGTCACTAACATAAACCAGATGCCATCTTCCTCAGGCTCCGCAGAGAACGATGGCCTGCCTTTGAGTTACATAAAACAGCAAGAAAATGAAATTTAAACCTTCAAGAAAAAGCAAAATAAATAAATCAGTAATTAGGCAAAAAACATCCAAGCCAAAAACAGCTTCCAAGTTTCCAGGAAGAATTAGGTTGTTTATGGAAGTCCTGTTTCAACTAACAGCCTGCCTGGCAGGTGGTAGGAATGTGAGTTTGCGGAGAGCAGAAACATGAAGCGGCTCTGCCTGGGGCACTGTGCTTTGCTTTGCTGTTTTCTTGTTTTAGTTAAACAAGAGGAGACATTACAAATATTCAACAAAAGGAGCAGAAAGGAGAACTGTGCCTCAGCGCAGCCCTTCCTACCTTGTATGCCGTAGAGCCGATTCAGGCGCGACCGTCTGGCCTCGTCGGCGTATGGCACAGCTACCCAGGGCATCTCGCTGAAATACTGCTTGAAGGAGTCCTCTGACCTGCACAAGGAGAACAGGGCATGGGATCCAGAGCACAGCCCCTCTGCCTGCCAGCCTCCTTCCTCTTCTCATTCAAAACCTGGCATGCAAAGCTCTTTATCCCTTCTGCCAAAGCCCACCAGTAAGGGCTGCTGGGAGACGCAACCTGTGGAGAGCCAGACTGAATTTAAAGCCCCCAGTTCCTCAAGAAAGGGTCCACGGTGCATTTTTTTCCCCCATTAAAATATTTTTAACTCTCCAGGGCATCTGAATGTCAACCAATGGTGACAGCGGCACCTTGAGCATCCTCCAGACCCGAGACCCACGAGCCACAAAGCGGAATAGAGCTGCTCCATGGACAGAACGCTCTCAGCCCACTGCTGTCCTTGCCAACCCCCTAGCTGCTCTACCCCAAATCAAATTTCCTCCTCAAATCAAACCAGCAACGCTCCCAGCTTGGGGGCAGCCAGCTCTGCCTGCACAGGGCATTTGTTAGCGCTTCCTTACCTGTCTGCACTAACAAAGAGTATCTCAAACTTCTGGCCTGCCTCCTTGATTTTTCGGTAGGACTCCACCAGGACCCTCGTGAGGCTTCGGCACGGTGGGCACTGCAAGACACAACACGTGCATAGGGGCATCACCTCCTGCACAGGAGGCCCACACATGGCAGGCCTGGGTGATCGAGGGACTGAAAGGACAGGCTATAGAGTGCCAGGCAGTAGCCCTGAACATGGCCAGGGCTTATGGCCCATAATTTGCCAACAAAACCTCTTTAGTTTTTAAAATCTGACCACTCTTCCTCTTCTGAAAGCCGCTGAGGATGACAGGCCACTGCAATGCTACAGCTTCTTCCAGAACAGGAGCATCTCAACTGCTTCAACACAAGCTGGCCCAAGGTCTTTACTCTCCCACAGAACTCCAGAGCAAAGCTTGTGGGGGGATCCCCAGAGCACCCCCAGCTCATCCAACTGCTCTGCAAAGCAGCTACTACTCACCCAGTGTGCGGAGAAATAGACCCCAACGTGTGAGCCCTCCAGGGCGCTGCTGTCTAGTGTCTGGCCGTTGTTCCTTAGCAGAGGCCCTGCAACAACTTCACTGAAGGGTTTTGGCCCCCAGGGGAACTCCAGACCTGGAGGAGTGGGGATGGGGGTGAAAAGAAGACACAGAACACCAAGATGTACATGCAGCATTTACAGTTTCCAAAGGTTCCACAAAAAAATAACCCGCCTTCTGCAGAGATATGGGGGAAGTGGGGAAGGCAAGCTCTGCAGTGAAGGCAGTTTTTCCCAGGTAGGCTGCACCCTCCCACGAGTCGCAGCACCTTCGGCTTGACAAAGCCTGCTCTCGTTTGTGCCTGATGAGGCACCTTTTCCTTACCAAGACTGTTTGCTTTAACAACAGAGGGCAAAGTGGTACGTGCCCAGGAATGCAGCAAACTATTTGCCTTACACTGATACTAACCATATATTTTTATATATGTAAGTACACTTATTTATTTATATAACCTTTTATATACATATAAAAGATGGGGGGTTTATATATATATATATTTTAAAAAAAATTATATATAAACTAAACTTCCACTAACCCTCTGCACCCCAAAGCAAGCATGTGTGTGTACACACAAACACATGCTCTGAATCATCCGCTGCCAGCTCCCACAGCAATCGCTCTGGGTATTCAGCCAGTGAGGAGGAAACATCACAGATGGCTCAGGCCACAACGTGTCCCTGCTGCACAGTTCCTGCCACCTGAATTAAAGACTCAGTCGCTGTGCTCAGTATCTACTGCATAAAGAAATGACGGGTCGGTAATATGTGTGCATGGACGGACTGTAGCAGTGGAATGATGGGTCTGCGGAGTCTATGAGTAAGGGCACATATTTTGCTCATTTTGTTTTTTTACAAATTGGAAGAAGATGGATTTAACATCAACCCTCAGCATAGTAAACCTCAGAAACAGAGAATGGTAGCATTTTACTGTTGCATATGTAAATAGTGGGGAATTTATTACCCTAACAGAGTGTGATAAAGTCAGTGATAAAGTCCCACTCAGTATTTTGGAAGGATTCTGCTCCCAAGGTATGGACAGTCTGGGCCCTCAGTCTGTCTCCCCATTGTGCCTCCAGCAGGGAAAAATCCAAACTTAATGTTTCAGTTAGCCTAGCTTTTTCCTCATTAGCACTTCAGACAAAATTCCTAGAGGGGAAATCTTTGTTCTTTTCAACAAGCAAAACCAAAACACAAGATCTGGCAGGAACGACGCAGAAAATTTTATGCTGAAAATAATACAGTGCCTCGATTAGTTAAGTACGACAATAGTTGTTTGTTTCCTCCTTCCCTCCCCGCCAAGGCAATTCAGAATGAGCTGAAATGAAAAGGCAGCTGCATGCCCATGTTTCTGTGGCTCACAGGACTCCAGGTCTTACCTTCTGGGTCATCTCTGATTACCAGGAGGCCGTTCCTGCAAACCACCTTCCCGCTGGAGGCATCGATAAATATCAGGGAAGGAATGTTGGAGACTCTGTACTTGTTCCACAGCTTCAGCTGTAAAAGAGATCAGGAGCAGAGAGGTAAACTTGGCAAGCGTAAAGAGGAAGATGTTTGAGCGTTAGCATCTTTCAGATCAGAAGTCGGAGCTAAGCAAAGAAACAGAGCTGGTGCTTTGGCAACGCGTGTGAAGGCACACGAGGGCATCTCTCCAGAGCTGCTGGGCCAGCCTGGACCTCCAACACCCAGAGAGACCCCCACCCTCCACACCGTCCCCTCAGTGCCACAGGCAACAACACCATTTGTCTCACATTTGCTGCGGGCTTGCCTGTGAGCGCAGGTAAAGCTTCTCCTCCTGCTGCATTTGCCTCTTTGCAAGTAAAACGGGGGTAAGTATCTACCGTACTTTGAGGCCTTAATTTACAAGGCATGGTAAGCACAAATATTTTTTAATGCCACTGCTCTGAAGCAATTTGTAACGCTTCCCTGGCTGTTTCCTCCCCTCCCATTTCAGTGTTCATTAAACAAACCAGCAACCCCTGCCAAGACACAGCCACGCTGAAAACAAGGCCAACGCTCAGAAAAACGATTCTTCGCCACAGGGGCTTCCCGGGTTTGTCCCCAGGAGCTGATTAACAGGTTTGACACCACCCTGAACTGCCAGCCTCGCAGTGGTCCCCCCAGCCAGGGGCAGAAGCCGTGCAGGCTGTGATAGCCACGGTTTGAGCGTCGTGGTCAAGACGTTAATGTCTGCTGGTCGTGACATTTCGCAGTGAGCTCGGCTTCACACCACGCCGGTGACTGAGTGCTCTGGGTGTCACACGGTCCCGGGTTGACGTTTCTCAGCGTATGCTTCTGGCACAGGATGATTTGGAGCTTATCCCACGTACAGAAGCTCGCTGGGATGGGGAGGATGGAGATGGTGACAGCTGCTGGCACAGCCCAGAGTGCTGGTGTGGGCTGGCTGCAGCCGGAGGAGCGGGTCCCCCCCCCCAGCAGTCACCACGTTTACTTACATTTCTCCGAGCATTTCAACCTGAACAGCCCAGCAGTGAATTATCAAACTCTTAAACAAAAGCCAAACCATAGCAGAGCCAGAGGGGAAGGAAATGAATCACCACGTTCCCCTAAGCTCCGCTCTGTAAAGCCCCTCAGGCTCCGGGTGTTTACAGCTCGCTTCGGTTTGGAGAATAAAACCCAGAAACAGGAGAAGGACGGGAGGGGACCCAGAATCCCACCCCGTCCCAGCAAGGGTTCAAGCACAAGAGCCAGAGAAACCCTCACACAACGTGCTGCTGCTTCCAGCAGCATCTCACACAGAAACTTGACCCAAGTTTTTTCCCAAAGAATGAAGCCACGGCCCTGCAGATCACCGTCCCTGATTTCCAAATAGAGGCAATCCCACTTCCCGAGATGGGAACGATCTGGGAAAGCAGGAAAACGAGGGCAGGAAAGGGATGCAATGTGCAGGCAGAGCAAACCATGTCCCTTGGCTTGCTCATCAGAGATCTAGCTGACAGGAAAGTCACATCTACATTCAGGTTTTAATGGCACTGCATTAAATATTTCTTTCAACACCTTTTCGCAAAAGGTACACTTGAATGATTGACATAAACTTGCAGTGGGGTTTTAGCAAAACCCTCTTGGGTCTGATGGAAAGCATTAATACTGATCTAAAAAGACTATTAACCTCCATCTACTAGAACCAAGAGAAAGGCAACGCTTTGTGTCCTGCCCCCCAGCTTCCACTTTCCAATAGCCGTATTCCTTGGGACAAGCAGACTCATTCATAATGCCAATTCACAAACCACAGAAGGTAAAATCCACTTCTGTGAAGTTTAAAGGGTGGGGAAAAGCTCTTTATAAGGATCACAAGCATTTAAGAGGGTGTTGCAAACAATGAGGAAATTACAACTAGCAATTGGATCGTTCTCTTTAAATAGCTGCTTACATTACACTTCATTTTGCCAAGCCCTTTGCATAAGGGCAGCACTCCCCTTGGGGCACTACGGCGGGTCGTGGCAGTTTTGCTTGGCTGGGAAAGCAGCAGGGTCTGCACTTCAGAGCCAAGAGGCTGCATCGACTCCTTGTGCTCACAGGACAGGGCTGGGACACCCCAGATAAGAGGATAAGACCAAACCCAACCCGCTCTTGCTGGAAGCACTGGCTGGCTAGCTCCCGGCAGGCTACGGGGTCCAGCAGACCTGGCAGTTCTTGCTAACAACTAGCCCTGGGTCTTCTCAGGATGTGTTATGCCATCAGGCCCCAACTGCAGAGACCAGTCTTGGCTGCCCAGACATCTGTGGTACAGGAAATTTGCAATCCAGATACTCTGTCCCCATCACATGGAGGGTTGACGCTTCTAACTCATCACTTGAGGGTCCACAGAATGCCTCAAGCAAGCTTGAAGCTAAAGGTCTGTGTCAAAAGGGTCAAAAAGCATCAAAAAAGGTCAGTGTGACATCTGCTGCTGCTGGGAGCAGTTTGGTTTCTCCCGTTCACTGGGAAAGCTGATGGGGAATGAGAAACACATGAGTGCCAGCATCTACCACCGTTCCCACCACCCTAGCCCTCTCCAGCCAGACTGGGCTTTCCAAGGCCTATCGGGCACTTCTGAAGGGAGACTGATGACTCCTTCTGCTGCAGGTCTGACCTGAAAGAGAACCTCGATAGGAAATGGGCTGGTTCATTTTAGCTGGGCTTTTTGGGTATGATAGCTCACTGTGAGATTCTCACCCCACACCACCAGCTGAACTGCAGCTTCCAAAGACACCCAACCTCCACCTAAAGCCTCTAAACACCAAGATGACTTCACCTGTCTTGTGGCAAACTATTGTACCGGTTACTTTTTCTCAAGGTAAAATACCAAGGGTTTGCTCACACACAGGTTCCTCCCCGGTCCTGCCCGGTGTACCGCCCCTGGTTGTGGTCGACGCAGGAAGAGGAGGCCGGGAGAAAAAAGCTGACAAGTACCTGCACAACCACGCACCTCGCAAGGGATCCTGTGTCAGGCTGGGCGTGGGATGTGGAAAGCAAATTACGACTTGCTCTGAAACCGCAGGACGATGGGATGATAGCTCCGGCAGCAGGGCAGAGTGCTGCCTCAGCAACTTTTAAAAGCTGTTTTTCCTGCCGTGAAGAGGATGACATAGAAATAACATACTCCACACTCTGAGGATTTGATCAACCATTTAAAGAGGGGATCTCTGCTCCGCTTCCCAACAGCTGTTGCAAATCTGTGGGATCAAGCCAAAGCTAACACAGATGTGGAAATAATCTACGGACTATTCAGCCTGAAAGCAGCTGATCCTCTCAGAGCACCCTTCGCTCCTGGATCAGGCTGCGCGCTTGCTAAACTCAATACTCACCCCAGGATGCCCGCTGGAGAAGGAGCAAGGGAATATACCCCCTCGCAAGATGCTGTACAGCCTGATCATCTTTACAAAAACCTCTCTGGCTCCTGTGCCAGTGGTTAAGTGCAGCAGTCCAGTGGAAAAAACAGAGTCACCGAATTCCTCCAGTAACCTTATCCCTACACAAAGCACCACCACGCCGTTCTGGAGGACCTGGAAACCGCAGCCCTAGGCTCCCTCTGCGACTCCATCCACCGCTGGCCACAAGAGGCTTTAAAATGATCACTTATGATTTGAGGTCTGAGGTGATCCCAAGACGTGGGGCCAGGCAGCAGCACTCAGCATCGGTCCCAAAGCTGCTCTCTGTGCTGGCAGCTGGCTCAGTTATTTCCCCCACCCTGCAGACTGGGAAATGCCCGTCCGAGACGCACACTGGAGAGAAGTCTGCAGCCAGCCACAGTCATTTTTCCAGATCAAGGTGTCAGACAATAGGTCTCCCCAGCAGCCCACAGCTGTTTCTGCACAGGGCTGGCACCCAGCCGGGGAAGATGAAATCCCCTCCTGCTCTGTGCATACTGTGGGGAAGGGATCCCCCCACTTCAAGCAGCTGCCAGGCGCTATTTTTGGTTGTGCTGATTGATTTACCAGCCCTGGTTGCCTTCACCTACTATCATAAATCCTGAGCTGCAGTGGTTAATGCTGGCGAAGAGAAAGCACAACTGCTCGCAGTGAAAGGAGCCCTGGCCGGTGGGAAAGCGGCCCTCCCGCCCTCGCTGGGGGCTGCATTTCTCCACTGTTGTGTGAACCTGGACCGTAAAAGCTCTCACGCCTCCATCTTCCATGGGATATGGAGCTGCCAGGAGACACAGAGGTTTCGGAGCCATCTGCCTGTGCCAGCAGGCAGGGCAGACGCTGCCTCTGCTCACCTTGCAACCCACATGTCCACCCTGACCAGAGACAGTCGGAGTGAGCTGGTTTAAAAACTCAAAAGCAGATCCCTCAGCAATAACGAACATGTCCCCAACACAGACGGCTGCTGCTTTCTGCTAAAGGAAATGCAAAGCCGCTTCTAACAACACCCTCAGGGTCTGCACAATTCCTCCAGTGAGAGGTTGGCAAGACCCCGCTTTTCCAACTGCCCCCTGAGTGCTCACACAACAGCGCAGCAGGGCTTCCAGTACAGGAACCAGCTCGGCTCTTGCCAGTCTCTTGTTCCCGAGCCACAGGCTGAAACACACAGTCAGAGGAGCTCAGGAGTAGTGCTCAGGTGGAAAATCACCCTCGGTGAAGGGCTGCAGGGACTGGCAGAGCCCATTTCCCAGCTCTACCTCCAGCTGTGCCACACAGACAGGCTCCAGGCTGGCCAGCCAGCCGCAGCCGTCCCCACCACTCCCCTGCCACGGTCTGGCTCTGTGCAGGACCTCTCTGTCCCCACTCGCAGTGTTAAACTGCAGCTTTTACATCGTCCCTCAAAGGGTTTTACAAGCACCAGGGGCCACCCAGGCTCTGCAGGCAGCAGGCATGGGGTTGCAGAACAACAGACTGCTCCTTCACCCTGTTGATTTAAATCCAGTTCACGCCTGTCCCTGTGATTCAAGCTCAGCTCGGGTGAAGGCTCCTCTTCCAGCCTTCCCTCGCTGCTCCTGTCCCTCCGTGTTTAAGGGAACCCTCGTAGCAGAAGGGAGATGCAGTGCGGGAACGACACGCACCCAAATAGCAGGGGGAGGTGTCGAGGGCAGATGGTGCACGCCAAGGTCTGACCTTGTGACACAGAGGAGACCAAGTGAGGCTTGGGGTAAATCAATGTGTATTGTGCTGTTGTTCCTCTCTGAAAGCAAATCAAAATCTAATTACAAAATACAATGGTGAGAGAGATGTCTGTGCTGAGAACATTAATGAGCTGAGGAGGGAGGATTTGGAATTGCAGTGAACAAGATGGATGTGAACTGCTGAGACTGACAGTGCTGGGCACCGGGGCTACTGGTGCACAGGGACTGGTGGGCAGCTGGGCTACCACATTATTGTTCCTCTCCATCCCCACACTGTCCGCGATGGGAGAAAGCCCAGTTAAAACCAACCTTAGGACCAGCTTCCCCCAGCAGCGCCTGCTGTGGATGCTCCCCTGACAGTCATGTTCCAACAATATGGCACAGTGTGAGCAAAAAATTAAAAAATCAACCTGAAAGTCCTGCTTGTCACTTCCATCCTGTCCTTGCTGCAGCTCTGTGGTGGGAGAGTGGCCCAGCCTGGTCCAGCTTGTGGCTGCCTGTGTCATTCCACAGCTAGTGGGGAGGCAGGGGAGACTCTGGCAGTAGTCAGGCTTTTGTTCTTCCCGACTGTGAAACATAATGGCAAAAGCTTTGGAGCCAAAGTGGGAGGAAATCCTCTCCGTGGGGTTTTCTGGCAAGGTGGCCACCAGCAAAGGGCTACTCTTTGTTTCCTCGAGGAGCTCCAGAGCCAAAGCCCTGGGATGAGGGACCTGGGCCAGTCCAAGCTTGTGTCCCGCGCCCCTCACTTCCTCTCACCCCCTGCTCACCCAGTGCTGGCAGCGCTGCTCTTTGCAGTCTCCCGGGCTCAGATGTCCAACCGACTGTGAGCTGAGCATTTAATTTGAGGGCAAAGCAGCATATGGCTGGCGCACGCCCGGCTCGGAGCACGTTGCATCCTTCTCCTCCTGACGTACATGCAGGCTGACAGCCTGGATCCTCCGCAGCCCACATCTGATAGGAAAACATTTAATTTGAGCAGCACTGAAGAGTGGTTAACATGATCTATGGAGAGCAAAGCCCCAGGGCCCAGAGCAGATACAGAGGTGGCCTGGTTGTTTTACATGTGCAAGTTTCAAAGAAGCGCTGGGCTGGCAGCTTGGTTTGATCCCAGGATCAGGACAAAGTATCATTTGTCTAAGCATACAGATAACAACGTAGGCAGCAAATCATGCAGGGAGGATGCTACGAGACAGGCTGGTCTATCAACACTACAGGGATGTCTTTTATAAACCTCTTTTTTTCCAGACATTCCTCAAATTTTACTCAACAGCCCAAATACGATGCAGAATTTAAGGATGCAGCATCCTACCCAGGACTAGGAAATACACCTCTGTGCACACCTTGCTTCACCTCTTAAAAGGAGGCTTGCACGTGAGCACCTCAAGATATTTCATTAACTATTTTCTCCCTACAGTTCTGCTTTGAGGCAAGCAGTCTCCCTTCACCTCCAGGAGAATGGGGGCACAGAGCTTGTACACAGACGAGTGCAGAACCCAGCGGGTCTGATAGCACCTTGAACCCACCTTCTGTTACCTGTTTTCACCAGAGTTTTTTTCACTTTCCTGGTAGGTAAGTATGACAGCAAGACAAACACATAAAAAGCACTGAGGACAGAGAGAGTTAAAGTGTTTGTGGGAAAAATTTAAGACACATGTATCATACATGGCCCCTATAAATTATGCTCCCAAATGACTAGCACTGAGTAAGAAACAGCTATGTAAACACAAAGGTAATAAGAAAAAATAATAATTTCTCTCTCTCTATAGGGAAGGGATATTTTTCCATCTGTTTATAGGAAAGGCGAGGGGTGGAGTGGCAGTCTGGGATATTGACTCGGAGTTCAGGGTCTCTCTTGGTCCCAAGTCTCATCCGTCATTGGAAGCGGGACAGCTGCCAGCAGCGCCGCACGTTACAGCCTGGGTTTCCTACCCGCTGCCTTTGCTTTCGCTGCTACGGAGCACTGGTGGTAATCTCCAGGTCAAACGCCTTGCAATCCCGGATCATTAAGAAACAAACACTTCTGAAACTCCCTGAGTTTAGAGTGAATTCCCACCAAACACAAAAGCCTTTTAAATCTGCAGGGAAATTGGGGTGGGTTTTTTGTTTTGTTTTTTTGGGGGTTTTTTTTGTTTAATGCATACAATGAGGTATTAGTGTGGTTTCTGTTTTGTTTTCAGCAGTTAATCCGAAAGGGAATTGTACACAATCAGACCAACAAAATGCTGGAAAACAATAGAATGTTTGTTAGCACTATAACGCACCCAGGGGAGTGAGGGCTGCAGGATGCTGCAGTGCCGGGAGCCCAGCGAGCCGTCACCTCCCCACCAGCACTGGGGCATCCCCCTGACCAGCAACATGGGAGACCCTTTTAAAACTACCGAGACATCTGAAAACACCCTCTTGTGCCCACCGCTGCTGAGGCACCCACTGGATTGGCACACAGCATCTTTTGAAATTAAATAGCTCATCCACAGCATCACTGCTGATGCCTTCACCACAAAGACCTCCACTCAACACAGCACTTCCATCGCTGCAAACGCTCAGACTATTTCAAAACAACCACTTTCCTCCAGTTGCTCCAGCTGACTTCAGGAGAGGGTGAACTGGTTGGCCTGGCCCTCCCTACAGCCACATCCACCTCGGTGTCTCTGAGCTGTCGGCGCTGAATCGCTGTCTGGCAGAGCTCCTGGTCTGCAACCCAAGAAGGATTTTCATGCAAAGGTTACAGAGCTGCAGCGCTGGAAAGGCCATAACCACAGCCCCAGCTCGCAGCCCACGCTACTGGGGCAGTTCCGGGCTTCGTACGCAAGACAGGCTCTGCTTGCTGCTTGGGAGGGCAGCACAGCTTGAGGGGTTCACTCCATACACACACGCAGGTCAAAATACAGCAGGAGCTAACCAGACCCAGGCGCTCTCAAGCTCCAGCTGGAACGAGCCATCCCCACCAGCAACAGCTCAGAGTTATCCTGCTCCTCCTCGGCTCTTGGGGTCACAGGGGGTCCACAGCCTGTGCTGACCCAGCAGAGCCACGGCCCTCACAGGAGATTTCTCCTCTGGAGCCATTAAAGTCTATCCTGTGCAAACATCCCGCTGTCGAAACTGCTCTGGGCTAAACAAACTGACGATGACACGTCTCGGGGCCTCCGTGCCTTCACAAGGATGGCTGAGCCCCAGAGCCGCAGTGGCCTGAGCCAGCGCTGGGTGCCCTGCGGGGAAGGCCATCAGACCAACTCGTGACACAGGCAGGACAGATGGAACGGGTCAGGCTGCCTGGAAAATTCTCTCCTATCAAACATTTCTCCTCTTCCTCCTGCTCCCTAAATCAAAACTCAGCTCCTCCGCAGAGAGGCTGCACAGGCTGGAAACATAAACCTGCCCGACGTCGAGCCACTGCCCTCTGAACGGGAAAGCCCCACTGTGAGTCCCACGTTTGCAATCAATCACCTGCACACACTAAAAACCAGAGCAGAACCAAGCTGAGCACAGCTCAGATGCACCCACATCTCAACCCAGCACAAGCCAGCGGGTGGGAATTTGAGGAGCCATTTCCACACCCAGCTGCTCTTTGCAGAGGGGTTTTCCATCAAGCTGTGCTCCAGCATGGCTGGAGGCATCACTTGTGAGGAGAAGGCGAAGAGCAGGAAAATCAGGAGGGGAAGGAGCAGAGACGGGGTACAGGCTGGGCACAGAGGCAGAGGAGGGATCGCCAGGGCCTGGTGAGCCCAGAGGGGGCCAGGCAGACGGGGCTGAGGGGACACGGGGTCTACGACACACACACACACACAGTGTGCTGGGTGCAGGGCAGGCGAGGGAACCTGATCCATCCCCCGAGACACAGCACAGAGACGCAAGAGGCCCCAGCTCCAGAGCCATCAACCAGCGAGGAACGAGACGGCAGGCTGGGGTTCCCACCTCTTTATTTTCAGGCTTGAGCAGCGTGTCTTGCAACTGCCAAGCCAATTAAAAAGACGAACAGAGATGGTGATAAATCAGCAGCAAGGTCAAAAAGCTCCAACTACACCCTGACTTGACTGATGGAAGTCACAACATATACAGTTTCTCAAAGGGGCAGGAGCCCGTGAGTCAGCACACGGATGAAATACGGCACCGGGAAGGCAGAACCGACCCCTGGTGCGCACAAGCCTCGGGCACAGCCTCCCTCCTGCTGCCTGAGCACGGCACGAAGGCAGCCACAGCGAAACGGGGCTGCTGCCAGGAACCAATGACAAAGCAAATCCCACGGGGGCGTTCAAAATGTCAGATAAGATGCAGCGTATTAATTCCCTCCACTGACAGCCAGCCCCAGCTGGAGGGGGAGGCTTGGAAATCACAGGCTTCAGCGAGGTGAGGATGCCCAGCACCTTGCTCTGCCACAGGGGCTTCCAGACAACAGCAAACCAGGAGGCGGCACAGAGGGCTGGATGGCAGGAGTGCTACCTCAATCTTTTGGGTGGGAATAAGGGAGATTCTATGCAAAAGGAAGAGCCGATGGTGCGTCCTTTTATAAAACACTGAAGACTGCTGTGCGCTGGCAAGCGACCTTCCTCAGATGTGGCTGTTATTTCAGCTGTTACTATATTCAGAGTTTGTAAAATGCACTGGGATGATAAAAATTACTCCAGAAAGAGTTATTAAAACTGTTTCCAGGCAATCGATCCATGGAGACAGAGAAAGTCTGGTCTTTTTACAAGAATTTCAACTGACCAAAGGTAAGGAGGAAGTTTTGCTTCCTCGGCTCTTCAGCAATAAAAAGAGGCTGCATCAGAGGTTTATTCAATTGAGCAACACATGTAACAAACATCAGTCGCTTCCTCAGAGGCGAGCCAGACCTGAGACAGGCAGAAAATACCCCTCGAGTCATCTGGAGTTGAAGGCTTTTCTGCTTTAGACAAGATCTGGGTTTGTTTGGTTGCGTTCTCGTTTTATCCTGTTGCTTACTGTGACTAATGACCATCCAGAAGATCATCCCAGGCTAACAAAACGCACGCTGCAGGAACAGAGATTTTATCCAGGAAAAGAGCACAGAGCACCGTGGGAGCACGCCCGGCCTTCCCACCCCCACTCCAGCCTCAATGCTAGGAAGCAAACATGTTTGGAGTTGGACGAGCCACGGGAAACGCCAAGCACATCCTCCACTTGCGTCCAAGCGGCTTTTTCCAAGGATCTGCCACAAAGTTTCAGGCTCAGTCACCCCTTCCCCATCCCTGGGTCAGAACTGACTGAATGCAGCCACCAAGTCAAACTCCAACATATTCATCTCATTTGGCAGCCCTGCGGTTCGGCTTCGAGCTCCAAGGTTTTTCCTTCCCTCTCCCTCCTCCTTGTTCAATTATCTTGCTTCATCTTTATTCCGTTTCCAGGAACACTTAGCAACAGGCTCTTGCAATCAGCCACCGGCAGGCAAGGATCTGAGGAGGAGACTCTGCAGTTACCATGACCTTTTACTACACTCATGCAAATTTTAAAGAAAGTATGTGAACAATTTGCCTTTTAAGTATCCTACGGTTACATTCTCCAGGAGTTAATTCTCATTCTATCCTTAGAGACATCAGAAACACCAGATTTTATGATTTTACACTAATGAGAACAAAATCTGCAGCTTAATTCCAGTTTGCTTCATGGAACTTTTTTCTGTATTTTTTTTCATGCAGTGTGCAGACCCCCAACAGGCAAAAATTAACCTGCAACACTTACCGTTGGCCAAAACTGCAGGTCTGCTTGGACACCACACGCTCACGCCCCCGACAGCCAAGCGTGGGCTTTGGGTCTGTCCCAGCAGCCGGCCAAACTCTTCCCCGAGATGGACAAGATGTTGTTCCCTTCCTTCTCTTGGCGAGAGGCTTTTACAGAT